CAGAGGAACTAAAACTTGGTATAGGATATCATTATATCAGTAAAGTTACAAATTTACATATATTTATCTAATGCAAATATTATTCAGATGCATATATATTTCCAATACATTTATGTGACCATCGTTTGAAGGCATCCTCTGTTTGAAAAAGTATTTGAGCTGTCCAATTTAAGAGAGAAAGAACCATCAGAAAAAGGAGCACAAGCCTTCAAGTTATCCATCTAGGTCAGTGTTGTCCAAACTTGGCCACTTTAAGATGAGTGGACTTCAACTCCAATTCTAGGAGTTGAAGTCCACTCATCTTAAAGTGGCCAAGTTTGGACAGCACTAATCTAGGTGTTTGCCTTTTGCAAGTAAGGGCATGGTTTGATTGCCTGGCAGGAGGGCTTAAGGCATGCAATGGTTCATACAATTGTTCTTCTTCATAAAATGATTGCTTGTCAGCAGATGGCACTCTGTCCACATGAGTTTAGCGAATTCCCACTCTGGCATTTTCTTCACTTTACATACATCATAGAGCGGGAAGGGGTGCAATAATCAGCATTGGGCAGGGCTTTAATACAACGAACTGCAATCCCTCTGCACCTGGATCAGCACCTGCCACTCTCTTCACTCTAGTTAATTGAGTCAATATGGATTGGCTCACAGCAACATCCAAGTGCCACCATTTTTCAGACATTTTGACCAGTACGCAAACAAGCGACATTTAGCAGGGCTTTTGGTCAAAGTTATACATACAAGAGGTTAGTTAGTTAGTTAATTCTGAATACAACCATCGTCCATGCTGCTCAGTTTTGTCTACACTGGATGGCAATGGCCCCCTTCTAGGCTTCAGGCATAGTTTCCAAACCATCTTGCAGATGCAAGGATTGTTCTTCAGACCTGTTGTATGAAAAGTGTGAGGAGGGCACACCAGTTATTGAAAGCAAAGGTTCACATACAGCTACACACAAATATGTAGCTTTGGATCATTTTCCTCAATAAGCAAATGAGCAAGTATAATATTTTTGACTCATGTGTTTCATTGGGTTCTCTTTATTTAGGTTCAGGACTCATGTGGAGAACAGATCATGTTTAAGGTCATAGTTATGCAGAAATATTGAACATTCAAAAGGGTTCACACACTTTTAAGCACCACTGTATACCAATACAGAGAGTGGGTTCACATAACTACCCAGGTTAACAAAGATAATTCCCGCCTTTATATGATACACTGCGCTTAAACAAAGTATTATGGCTTAATTTGATAGCCTGGTTTATTAATTAATTTATTTACTATATTGTATACCACTAGATTCCCCAGTCTTATGGTGCTGCCCAATTAAAATCAAAACAAAATACAGCAAATAAATACTGTATTTTTCCGTGTATAAGATGATACTTTTTTCTAAAATCATTACACTAAAAATTGAAGGTCGTCTTATTCAAGGAAGTAAGCCGAGGAGAGAACCGCGCAGTTGCGAAACTGCCCATACTTTGTCTCTGCAAACAGGCTTCCTCCAATCACGAGCCTGATGTAACTGACGTCAGCTGATGCTGAACAAAGCAATTGGACCACATCCCGTTGGAGGTGGAGAGCGTGTAGGAAGTGCGCAGATGCGACAGGGACCAGAAACGTCAGAGCATTCTGAGCCCATAAAGATGTCGGAAAATAAAAAAATAAATAAGCGAATG